CTTCTGGGCTTCTGTCATTTGTAAAAAATATCCTGGCCAATTAGATGTCTTGGTTCGTGCTTCTTTTAGGTACAGTATTACACCAGTGTCGAGTCGCAGACCAATTAACCAAATTGTCCCCATATGCCTCCCAGTCTGCCTGCATGAACTCGGTTTATAAATCCTCTCCCAAAGTTTGCCCTCGGTCACGTGACCTGTTTTGTCCAATCGTAGAGCCTCGTGAAGAACCAGTCTGTGCCCCCGCTATACCATAAAATGATCTGGGTTTTTCAATTCCAGGTCTGCTATTTCATCTTTGGCTGCTTCTTTCACTTGCTTGTTTTTTTTTTCTCCTTCCATCTGCATTTTCATATCTGGGGTTATTAGTTGCTTTATCTGCTTTACGTTGCGTCTGTGTTTGGTTATTTGCATTTTCCGATCAAGTAGAGTGTTATCGCAGAGTTTTGAATATATGACCCTAGCTATAAAACTGTCAGCAGAAAGTTGTCGTTTTATTGGTCATTAATGGAATAGTCCCCTAATAGTGCACGAGCAATCAACTGCACTACTTCAGTTATTTCTTTTGCAAAAGCAAATCTCAGAGGTACAACAAGGTTTGTCTGTAAACGTTAAAATGTTCCCTGTTTTATTTATAAAGTAACATGATGTAAATACTATTCATTCATTTTCTTTTTGGCTTAGTCTTCTTATTAATCAGGGGTCGCCACAGCGGAATGAACCACCAACTTATCCAGCATATGTTTTACACAGCGAATGCCCTTCCAGCTGCAACCCAACACTGGGAACAATCATATATATAAAAAAAATATTTAATTTGATGTTTCCTATACAGTAATTTAATATTTAATGGTATTTATTATTTAAAATATGCATTTGAATATAGTATCTTAGATCATTTGTTGTGTTTTTGTATTTTCTATACTTTATAGTTTATCTTTTATATGTCTGTTTGAATTCTATTTTTAAGAACATTTAATATATTAAATTAGGGGCGACGCGGTGGCGCAGTGGGTAGCACTGTTGCCTCACAGCAAGAAGGTTGCTGGTTCTTGCCTTGGCTGGATTATTGCGGTTTCTGTGTGGAGTTCGCATGTTGTCCTCTTGTTCACATGGGTTTCCACCGGGTGCTCTGGTTTTCCCACACAAGTCCAAAAACATGCTAAAGGTGAGTTGATTGAACAAAATTGTCCGTAGTGTTTAAGTGTGTGGATGAGAGTGCATGGGTGTTTTCCAGTAATGGGTTGCGGCTGGAAGGGCATTTGCTGTGTAAAACATATGCTGGATGGGTTGGCGGTTCATTCCGCTGTGGTGACCCCAGATTAATAAAGGGACTAAGCCGAAAAGAAAATGAATGAATGAATGAATTATACATTAAATTAAACTGAAAGAACTATCTGAAATATAAGTTTATAAATACACTGTATATATCTATTTATTTATTTGTAAATTTTATCAGTTAACATTATTTTAGATTAATTTAGTTCATTTTATTTAAGGTAGAAAATGGTAAACTAATAAACAACACTCCTGTATTTATTTGACATTACATCACATTTAAAGTCAGGTTTACATCTGAATGTACAGACTATTCCTTCAATGCATATTTCACATCTTTAACAATTACGAAAGTTTACTATTGTTTGTGTCTTTTATTTATAGCAAATATATAATATTGCTAAATGTGCTGGTCATCATTAATTCTAAGCCAATCAAACTCAATAATTGAAATGAAGTCATAACCTCTCTCTCTTTCTTTCTGTAAACACACAATCTAGGGACACGGTTTTCAGTGACGAAAAGTAGGAAGTTCCCATGTTTACTAAAATATTTCAAATAAAATAAGAAATTAAAGTGTACTAAAATAGTTGCAATAGGCAGCACGGTGGCGCGGCATATAAACAATTATTACAGTTGTAAAGTGATTATATAATACACATGCATATATATATACACACACTTCAACTCATTCATTCATTCATTCATTTTCTTTTCGGCTTAGTCCCTTTAATAATCTGGGGTCAGCGAAATGAACCGCCAACTTATCCAGCATGTTTTTACGCAGAGAATGCCCTTCCAGCTGCAACCCATCTCTGGGAAACATCCATTCACACCCATTCACACACATACACTATGGCCAATTTAGCTTACCTATACCACGTCTTTGTACTTGTGGGAGTAACCAGAGCACGCAGAGGACACCCACGCGAACGTGGGGAGAACATGCAAACTTCACACAGAAATGCCAACTGACCCAGCCAGGGCTCGAACCAGCGACATTCTTACTTTGAGGCGACAGCACTTCCTTCTGCGCCACAGCATCGCCCCACGTTATATATATATATAGTTGAATCAGAATTATGTTTAACAATGATGTTTAACAGAGCAAGGAAATTTTCACATTATTTTATATAATTTTTTTCTTCTGGAGAAAGACTTATTTGTTTTATTTCGGCTTATTTCGGCAAGTTTTTTATTTTTTCTGTTTAACGGAGAGAATTTTTTTCAGCACATTTCTAATAATAATAGTTTTAATAACTCATTTCTAATAATGGATTTATATTCTCTTTACCATGATGACAGTAAATAATATTTTACTTGATATTTTTCAAGACACTTCTATACAGCTTAAAGTGACATTTAAAGGCTTAACTAGGTTAATTAAGGTAAATAGGCAGGTTAGGGTAATTAGGCAGGTTATTGTATAACAATGGTTTTTTCTGTCGGATATCGAGAAAAAATATAGCTTAATGGGGCTAATAATTTTGTCCCTAAAATGGTGTTTTGAAATTAAAAACTGCTTTTATTCTAGCCGAAATAAAACAAATAAGACTTTTTCCAGAAGAAAAAATATTCTCGGACATACTGTGAAAATTTAATAAACACCATTTGGAAAATATTTAAAAATGGAGAAAAAAATTTGAAGGGGGCTAATAATTCTGACTTCAACTGTATATATATATATATATATATATATATATATATATATATATATATATATATATATCCTTGTTTTTCTTCCTGCGTCAGGTCAGTAGACGGACTAAAGTCCAGTTGAGATGAAGCATCGAGCACACTAACTGTATTTTAGGGAACTGATTGATATTGATACTTGGGTGGAAAAGGAGTTATTTCTATCTAGGGCAACAAGGTGTTGTATGACTAACCTAGATAGAGTTCCTGACCCCTGTTTGAAACTAGTGTTGTTCTAAATCAAGTGTACATGGGAAACCATGAGCTTGGCTAAACCAAAATTATTATAGAGAACAGAAGTCAGTTATATTTATAATAATGGCCATGACCTGATTAGAAACAATATTGCCTTTAACTCAATTATGTAAATCTATGGGGACTAATCACAAATACTTTAGAATAAGCAAGAATAGAAATGGCCATCTAAAAGTATTAGTCAACTGCTGAGACTGCTGAGAGTGTGACCATAAGGGACCCCACCGGCCGAGGTGATTCCTCTGAGTGACATGAGCACCCGAATGAACAAATGTAATAGTTACAAAGACAAGGTTCAAACATTCATCTAAATTATATTTTGATATAATATTCTTAATGTTTTATAATTGGAGGCAGATATAATGAAAGATAAATATATTAACATTCTTAACTACCTCATATTAAATATGTAGTCAGATATGAGTAAATTTAAAGAAATTCAACATTGTGTACTGGAAAGATTGAACACCCACTGAACTTTCATCCAGCAGTAGACACCTTCACTGGGCCGACTGGCTTGACCCTACAGTCTGTAATATCTCACAGTCTGTCCTATTTTAGCCCTTTAAACACACTGTAAAAATGTTTGTGAATTAACCTAAAATGTAAAAATGACACAGTAAAAATATGTACCTGTTTAACAGTAAGTTTCCTTATTATATACAGTAAATAACCTTAGAACTAGTTTTTGTCTGTGTAACAAAGTTAAGTTGTGTAGATATTAGTGCTTTAAAACATTGATCACTGACAAAAAAATTTACAAAATATGGTAATTTACCAATTACGTTTCCATGTTTAAAATAGTTTACTTCTATAACTACAAAATACGGTAATTTACCAATCACGTTACTATGTTTATAATAGTTGACTTCTGGTAACTATAGCTACAAAATATGGTAATTTACCCATTATGTTACCATGTTTATAATAGTTTACTTCTGGTAACTATAGCTACATAATACGGTAATATACCATTTATGTTACCATGTTTATAATATTTATAATAGTTTACTTCTTATAACTATATCTACAAAATACGGTAATTTACTAATTACGTTACCATGTTTATAATAGTTAACTTCTGGCAACTATAGCTACAAAATACAGTAATTTACCAATTACGTTACCATGTTTATAATAGTTTACTTCTGGTAACTATAGCTACAAAATATGGTAATTTACCTATTACGTCGCCATGTTTATAATAGTTTACTTCTGGTAACTATAGCTACAAAATACGATAATTTACCAATTACGTTACCATGTTTATACTACTTCTGGTAACTATATAGCTACAAAATAGGATAATATACCATTTACATTACCCTATTTATAACAGTTAAATTTTGGTAACCATAGCTACAAGATACAATAATTTACCATTTACATTATCATATTTATAGTAATTAAATTCTGGTAACCACAGCTACAAAATACTGCAATTGACTAAAATTTCATATAGTTTTTTACATTACTATTAACAATTAAATTTCAATTTGTGTGTGTGTTTTTTTTTTATTATTTTTTATTATTATTATTACATTACCTTATTTTTAACAGCTAAATTCTGGTGACCACAGCTACAACATGTGATAATTTAAATATGATTAAAACATTTTTTAGATTACTTTTAACAGTTAAATTTTGTAACCATACCTACAAAATACAGTAATGTACTGTACATTTTACAGATATTTCTTTTTATAGTGCTGCTCAGGTATTCTGCTTTTCTATAATCAGTCCCAGTCATTTCTCTCTCTCTTTCTGTCTGTCAGGACCCTCGGCTGGAGTTCATGAGAAAGTTTGCCATTGGTTTGGTGTCGGGAACGGTTTCATCCTGCGTGAACATTCCTTTCGATGTGGCTAAAAGTCGAATCCAGGGTCCTCAGCCTGTTCCAGGAGAGATCAAGTACCGCAGCTGCTTTCAGAGCATGGCACTGGTGTACCGTGAGGAGGGGTAAGACCTGAGCCACAGCTTCAGGTGTCATAATAGGCTTTAACCAAATCCTAACAGCAGCAGGCTTCACCTGCAACAGAAAGAAATGACACAATATTTTCTACTTATCATTTGCCCATGGGGACAAAAAAGCAAGTTTAAACAACCTCTAAATCTCTATTTATTTGGTCCTTTTGATCTGAAGAACATGATTTAGTAAATTCTAAAAATAAATACTAATTTAGTTTGTGTCATTTCATTTGTCCAGATCTGTGTGAGTGACATAAATTTGATAGATGTAGTTACATAAATATAAAACATAAGTGCAGAAATGTTCCAACCTCTCTCCACAGTTATGCTGTGTCAGGGATACATGGCTATTTTTTCATATGAATTTATTCCAACATACATGATTTAAATTGTTATGCATAAAAACGTAAATGCACATATTCTGTGATGAGCATGTTCTTTAGTTCATACTTTAACATTTATTATGATTTGTATTATTACATGTTATATATGTTTTAGTCGGCAGCTAGCTCTCTGCAACTCTCACATGGTCGCCCACTGAAGCTAAGCAGGGCTGCGCCCGGTCAGTACCTGGATGGGAGACCACATGGGAAAACTAGGTTGCTGCCGGAAGTGGTGTTAGTGAGGCCAGCAGGGGGCGCCCAACCTGCGGTCTGTGTGGGTCCTAATGCCCCAGTATAGTGACGGGGACGCTATACTGCTCAGTGAGCGCTGTCTTTCGGATGAGACGTTAAACCGAGGTCCCGACTCTCTGTGGTCGTTAAAAATCCCAGGATGTCCTTCGAAAAGAGTAGGGGTTTAACCCCGGCATCCTGGCCAAATCTGCCCACTGGCCTTTGTCCATCATGGCCTCCTAACCATCCCCATATTCAATTGGCTGCATCACTGTCTCCTCTTCACCAATCAGCTGGTGTGTGGTGTGCGGTCTGGCGCAAAATGGCTGCCGTCGCGTCATCCAGGTGGATGCTGCACACTGGTGGTAGATGAGGAGATTCCCCCCACTGTGTAAAGCGCTTTGAGTGCCCAGAAAAGCGCTATAGAAATGTAAGGAATTATTATTATTATTATTATTAGTAATATGGTTTTGTGTACTATTAATTAGTTGTTGAAGCTTTTTATAGTTTTAATCCTAATCTTTTTATGGTGGCATCAGGGATTTTTTTTCTCTTATGTGTTTTATAGTTGATGTGTTTGTGTATATAGTTATATTTTATAATTTTATCATTATTACTTGCAAAATAGTTTTTCTATCTATTTTTTCTATAAATAGATTTTCTGCTTATTAATGTGGGGGGAAATACAGCTTTTAATATAAAAAACATTTAGTGTATAATTACAAATAGCAATTATTTGGTTAGTTACAACAATGAGAAATATTTTCTTGCATTCAGCTAAAAAAATGTGTAAATGATTGATTGTTTTCAGTTAAAATACATGTTATTTGAAGAAAATAATAAATATATACGGCGGTTCATTCCACTGTGGCGACCCCTGATAAATAACAAGGTCTTTAAAAGTCTTAAAATTACTAAAATTTCAAAAACAAAATTTTAGGCCTTAAAAAGTCTTAAATTCACTGAAATATTGTGGTGTGGGTCTTAAATCATTTTTAACAGGTCTTCATTTTTTTATGTCTATGTAAAGCTACCCAATCAGGCTAACACCCATACATTTACATAACATTCCATCTCAATAAAGGTTTTAACAAGTGTTTATTTATTAACTCAATTGACCGTTATAGTTTAATTATCTTCTTTAAATAAAATTAGTTTTTAATGTCTTTTTTTCTTACTTGGCCTTTTAAAAAAAATCAGGCTTTTAGCCTGATGTTAGTCTGAAATTTAATTCATACAGGTCTTAAAAAGTCCTGAATTTGACCTGCAAAAACTCTGAAATAAGCGACTAAGCGGAGGGGAGATTAATGAATGAGTATATGAAGAGTTTAGATGCAAAAACCTCAAAAAGCCGTTTAAAATTTCCTTAAAGAATTGGCATTTTCTACACAGTCCTGTGTGTAGGTTCAGTAATTTCAAGTTTATGGCACAGAATATACTCTTTTAAAGGTCTTCAAAATTAAATAACTCAACAATAAACATAGGAGTCTGAGAAAAATGCTTATTTTTGATGGAAATTTCAGATTGCACTTTGTGGTTTTTGCATCTGAAGTCTTTATATATAGCTAGATATTAATACATTTAATCTGCAAGCATGCATTAAATAAAATTATATGACCCCAAATTATTTGCTTTATTGATTTGTATTTAGTAAGTAGTAAAATCATAATTTTAACAATCTTGACTGCATATTAATATCAAAAAGTCCACTCTTAATAACTTACAAACTTTTTACCATTTAATGACAAATAAGAATAAGATCCAAAACTGAAAATTCAGTCATTTCAGTAAACATCTAATGCAATTTCAATTTTGCATTTCAGCATGCAAATCCTGAAATCAACTGACATCCTAATATAACTTGTGTCCATTGACACTGTAAACTTTGTGCTGATTCTGAAATGATCTGGAGTCTCTAATGATGTCAATCAGCATCTCCATGAATTGAGAAGCCTCATGTGATGTTTAAGACAAAATCAGTAGGTTCATGACTTCTCGGATGGTCCGCTCACTCTGTACAAAGGCAACAGCAGCTCATTCCTTATTAAAGACCAGAAACTGGGGCCTTGTGTGTGTTTGTGTGTGTGTGTGTGTGTGCGTGCATGCGTGCGTGCGTGCGTGTGTGTGTGTGCGTGCGTATGTGTGTGTGCGTATGTGTCTGAGTTAAATAGAGACACTGAAGCTGTTTTAGTTTTAGGGGTGCTGAGAGGGTACCCCATCCTGTCCAGCCCTCTAACACGACACAGTCCTGGCTAATTAGTGGTCCCTATGGGAGACGTCGTTAAGCAGGTCCTAACGAGGCGCGCGGCGCTCAGCGGGTCAGTCTAATCAGACAGCGGGGCAGAGAGGAAGTGGCTCAAGCCTTATTAACACCAGCACAAGCAGAGGACATGAGGCTGAGCGCCAGGCGCAATGCCACAGTCCAGCTTGAACACATTAGGGCAGGTACACAAGCTATTAGTGCCCTTTACCTGCTCCAGCATCACACACACATCCCGCCACTGTGGAGTCTAGCCTTTCGTTGTATGCTAAGTATAGGGCTGTACAATAAATCAAACAATTTTGGCCATCAATAATTATTTATTTACAATCATAGATATAAAATGATCATTGTTCCCCATTCTGTCCTTTTTCCAGCGGTGTGCTTTTGTTCCTCTAAAAAAGCAGTTTTCACATGCAAATCAGGAAATTATGTAACGTGTTTCTAAAACCGCTAAAGAGAACTTGTGCTTCCTCAGAAGTGTATCTAACATGGACTCATTGGAAATACGTGCTTCAGCCTACATGTTTGGTGAAACCGCAAAACATTCTTAAACACACGCTTGACTGCAGTTCCTATATAAAACACTATGGGGCAGTACGACGGCAACAACTTTTGTTTCTTTTCACACTAATGATATTTACAGGAACATTTTATCATTTGATTAAACGATTATATTAATGCAATTCTTGGCACAACACCAAATAAATATAACAAAACAATTTAACAGTGTCTATGATTTGTAATTAAATAAGTTTGTCTCACCTATCTGTCTCCATATGAACAACTTTTCTGTTGTGGTCAGTTTGTTCGGTAGCTCACTTTGTCCGATGTTGTAATGCTAAGCGCTTAAATTTTAGACTGATGAAACACCTCCACAAAAGAGTGTTATGTGTTTAAGTAATTAAGTTGCAAAAGACATTTTTACAACGTTATTTACAATAATTAAAATTTACAATTTATTAATTATTAAACATTATGTGGTTGCACTGCCCTTTTCTCATATGTGGGTTTTTGAAAACACTTTATATTAAGTGGCCTTAATTACTATATACTTACACTAGAAAATAGGTACAATATACTTATTGTGTTCTTAAAGTATTGCACTCCACTTCTGGTCATCTTGAAGTGGGATACGGGTAAGGTTAGAGACAGTTCTGGGGATAGGTCAACAGTGTAGTTCTGAATGTAATTACAGCATATAGATGTAAAATAGATTAAAATATTAGTACAGTGTAAAAACATGTATGTACATAATAAAAGCATTGTGCTAAATTATTAATTTCAATGTAAGTACATAGTAATCAAGGCCACTCAATATAAAGTGGGGCTGAAAACACTATTGGTTGGGTTTAGGGTCAGTGGTTTGCTGGTCTAGGTGACCTGATAAGACCTGCATTACCTTTGATGTGTACAAGACTCCTATATGAAACGTATACCAAAACATACCCTGAGTCACGACATTCACAAAAATGTAGACAGTTACCTCTAGTGGTTTATCATCTGAAACATGCAATAAAAATGTACCCGGAGCAAAGTATTTTACGTTTTGCAAAAAATTTCTATGATGAGGATTCTCAAGAGGATTACGTGCCTAATAATTATATAAACCTTCTTCTGTCATGTAATAAATATACAGTTGAGAATGAAAATACATGCGTAAATTGGATCTGTGTGGCTCTTTAAGGGAAAGCGGCCTTTATTCCTGCTGCTGACTGTGCGCTTAAATTGATAATTCACCCAAAAATGAAATCTCTGTCATCATTTACACATTCTTGTTTGAGTCTCCAATTTGAGTTTTTTTCTATTGAACACACCACAAGTATTTTAAAACATGCTGGTTGATGGTACCTATTGACTGCCATAGTATTTTTTCCAAATATGGAAGTCAATTGGCACCATCAACCAGCATTTTTCCAAATACTTACTTAGTGTTCAACAGAAGGAATAAACTCATAAAGGTTTCAAAATCACATGAGGAAGAGAAAATTGAAGGAAGTTTTCATTTTTTGGTGAACTATCCCTTTAACCCCTTTAATGCTAACCACACTGTAAAAAAAGCCTTCATGTTGATTATGGAAACTAATTCAAAAGTTGCAAATATAGGAAGATTGAACATAACCCAATTAATTAAAGGAAATAAAATGTGTGGTTTCAGCCCATTTTAAATAAGTGTTTTGAACAATTATTTTTGAGTGAACAAAAAAACTAATTCACCATCACTCACAGCTCTTGAGTGAATGACTTTTGTAGCTTTTATAAGTGCTACATTCAAGTGTTCTAAAGTAATGAGATGTGTGTAAGAATGATCAGAAGTTAAGGGAATAGTTTATTTATGCACCCTGATCTTCCAAAGAAGGATAGTTTAACCTTTGTGTATCCTTATGGACATTGTTGTCTCCTTATTTTTCTGTTCTTTTTTTCTTTTTGATTATTTTGACTGTGTTAATGCAAACTGCATACATTTAGCAAATAAAAAATAAATTAAAAAAAAGTAGTTTTTCCCTTACTTGATGTACAAAAAATTTTTACACTCAGGGCCGTAAAGACACAAATGATCTGAACTTCCAACTGATCGATTTACAGCAGCAATATTTTATCTAAGTCAGTTAATTTCAACATTTTTGTCTGCCGATGTGTAACTTCTTTGGGTTTGTTCTTGCATATCAAGTACAGTTGACCTTTAGTTTACCATATTAAACTGCATTTATTAAGTTCTAAATGTGCATTGATTAATATAAATAAAATCCTAACTGAATGTGAGAACCTATTGCATTTGGGGACGTTAACATTTGAATTGAAAATTGTAAGTGCAATTGAAAATTGGCCATCACTAACACAAACTCCATGCTTTTAGAAGACTTAGTAGTATAGCTTATTGGAGTCGCTGCATTGTGCAAGAAAAAAACACTGCATTAAAGGGATAGTTCACCCAAAATTGAAAATTCTGTGATCATTTACGCATTTTTTATTTGTTCCAAACCTAGAGTTTGTTAATCACAAAATAAAATATTATGAAGAAAACTGGAAGCCTGATTTTTTATAGTATCTGTTTTTTTCTACTATGGGAGTCAACGATTACTGGTTTCTAGCTTTCTTCATAATGTTTCTTTTAGGTTCAGTAGAAAACAAACGTAAAAAAAAGTTTGGAACCAACTGACAACAATTACATAGTGAGTACATTTTCATTTGTGGGTGAACTATTCCTTTTACATTTTTCATTTTTCTTCATTAGTTTCTAACAAATAAAACTGATGCCTATGTCTAACTTTCTCCTTCTAGATATCTTGCCTTATACAAAGGACTGATTCCCAAGATAATGAGACTTGGACCAGGTAACATAACATATGATAAACATATAATAAATGTTTTGCCATATTAAAGTGATGCAAAAATGAAAATTATGTCTTGCTAAACTCAATTACAAACATTAAATACGATTTTCAGACTTTTTAGGAAAGTTGTTAGGCTACCAAAAATCTTACAAATATATTTTGTGTGTTTTATGCAGAGGGACAAAGTCATATACAGCTTAAATCAGAATTATTACACCCCCTTTGATTTATTTTCTTTTTTTAAACATTTCTCAAATGATGTTTGACAGAGCATTCATCATTCCCAAATGATGTTTAACTTTAAGCTATATATATATATTTTTTTTAATTCAGGGTGTTTAATAATTCTGACTTCAACTGAAGCTTTGGAGTGGGGTTGAACAAATTATCAATTTTTATTTTTGACAAACTATCCCAATAGCATTACACATATACATACTTTTTACTTTTAGTTCACCCTCACCCTAATGTCGTTCCAAACTCCCAAGATCTTTAATTATCTTTAGAATACAAATTAAGATAGTTTAGGTGAAATCTGAGTACTCTCCCATCCTACATAAACAGCAAGGTTCCCTAATAGTTTAATGTCCAGACAAATACCAAAACACATCCTCAAAACAGACCATATGGCTTCAGTGGTTCCACGGGAATATTATTAAGCTATGAGAATAAAACAAAATAAAGACTTTATTCAGCAGTTTCTTCACCTAAGTGTCAGTATATTGTGCGCATGCAGAAGCTCTGTGCAGTAATGTACAGTATACCTTGGATGCATGCGCGACTTGAATAAAGTGGTTATTTTTATTTTATGTGCGCACAAAAGTATTCTCATATAACTTCATAATATTCCGATTGAACCACATATGATCTGTTTTGAGGACAAGTCGGGAACCTTGCTGTCTATGGAGGATGAGAGTACTCAGATTTCACCTAAAATATCTTTATTTATGTTCTGAAGACAAATGAAGCACTCGGGGGGTTGAAACAACATAAGGGCGAGTAATTAATAACATACTTTTAATTTTTGGGTGATCTAAATCTTTTATTGACAGTTGCTTTCTGTATATAGGAGGCGCAGTCATGCTGCTGGTTTATGAATACATGTCAGGCTGGCTACAGAAGAACTGGTGATCTTCAACAATCTGTACTCCAGGTCTTTCAGACAGAACGCCATACCTAACCCAAACAATCACACTACTAGTGCATTTAATAACCACACTTCCTCAGACATGGCACGTTGGCTCTCCACGACAGCATCGTTACTCCCTGGATCAACCTTACATTCCTACTTTTGTTTATATATCACAGAACACAACTATTGAGACATTCAAGAGTCACCTGTCCACATGCCTGCATATGCAATAGGAACCGCACACCCTATACCAAATACAAACAGCAGCTCGCTTTTAACTCAAATTTAGAAAATATCTGACTGAGCATGACTGAAGCCTGACGGACGCTATCTTTAGCTGGCAACCATTAGACTAGGATTTAGTAAATCTGTGCTTTAAGCACTTGGATATCAAAGTTTCAAATCCAGAATGCAAACAGATTTTTTTATTTAGATAAGAAGGTTGAAATTGTGTTAAAAAGATAGTTGCCCCCAACACCCCCCACCCGACCCAAAAAAATATATATATATATACAATTTCTCAGTTTTCTCTTCCTCAAGTATTTTCAAACTTTTATATTTTCTGGTGAAAACAAATGAAGCCATACAAATACACAGTAGGAATGAAATTATTATGGAAAGTGAATGGCTACTGGTTTTCAGCATTTTTTTTAAATACCTGTGTGTTGTGTGTGTTTAACAGAAAAAAAGAGGCTCAGAGAGGTTTATTTGGCTGAACTATCCCTTTAAGCATATCTTACTCAGGCAAAGGGGTATTAATAAATTTTGTAACTATATGAAATGTCTGGTAAATTTTGGCTCAAGCAGGAATTGATTTATGAGTAATCAAACTCAACGGAAGTTTTCTGGGATTTCAAAATCATTTTGGGATAAACAGTGATTGTTAAAACAGCAATTAAGATCTCCCAATCTCCAAAGAGGTTAAAACAGTTCATTTAATGGCTGTATTTTGCTAATAAATGCTCCTGAACTACAATAAATTGGTGTGGTCTTTTGTTGGTGCCTAGGAAAACAACTTTCTTGTTGGAAATTTACTAACGCAGGACTACCACACATTTTGAATAATGAAGTTTTATGATTTTTCCTGTTGCTTGTGATTGTCGGATGAAGATTATTTCACACAATCTTTGTTTTGTCTTTGTCCTTGGTCTGGGCATCAAAGTTTTCAAAACTCCTTGATAGTGCAATGATTTCCATAACCATTGACCTACTACTGTTGAAACACTGTTTGATGTTGTTTAAATCAGATTTTAAAGCTGGATTTAATTCACTGGTTTGAAACTTATAATTCTTTGTTTTTAGTAATAACAGATTACAGTGAGGGAGGAATCTCTGTGGTTTTACTTTGTGGTGACAGTCACTACTAGTGATGAATCACCTGATTTGTTTTATTTTTTTAGCAATCTTTTTTTCTCTCTTTCTCTCTTCCTTCTTACTGCAATCCAGTATGTCATCATAGCATCATAAGCCAAGACGCTCACTCTCACTCATCTCTCCAGGCCTGCAGGCTGCTTCATCATAGCTCAGCACAACTTGAAATAACAAAACTGAAAAATGCAAATAAAATCTAAACAATCAGGACGGCCTCTGAGTGCTGTCATAATAGAAAAATGAAGCTCTTGTCGGTACAGACAGTTTCATATTGTTCGCAGACACTGCTAGCACTGCGTCGCTTAAACACAACTTGTTGGATGAGTTAAAACAATATGTCATCCTTTGAATCCACCCTGACCAGTTCACATTTCCCTCCCCCTCTCTTTAAATGTCATGTTTTACCTCATTCGGTTGACTTAAAGACAGTGAATGCTTTTGTTATACTCGCCTGGTGTCTGCGATGCTCATCCTCTATTTCAACTCTTGTTCGCTGTCAATCCTTTCAACGGCCTTTTGAAGCTTCTCTTCTCCAGACGCATTTTCAGACTGTGCTCATAGTTTCCCGCTAAGACTTTTTCCGAGTCATTTGAAGCATTATATCAGATAATTTATTTTTTTGTTATATAATCCCTTAACCTTTCTCCCCCTTCACTCTTTAGTTTGAAGTTTTTCCTTCATCGCAGAAGTGTGGCAAAGAGATGTGCACTGTAGCCTACCAATGACCAGTGCGTTCCTCTGAGCGCCCGAAACACACTCCCAGCTTCACGAAAGGAAAAACAGTCTGCTTATGGTCAGTCTCCCAAAAAAATCAAATTTGCACCTCGGGCCGGTTCAGTCTGTGCAGTGTCCATACTCCTGTCTGAAGCCTGATTGCACACAGTCAGCTAAAGATAACCATGTGACATTTGACTTGACTTTCCATACGAATTAATACTAAACAGATGTGGGCGCGTGAGCAAGTGTGTTTTCACTTTTCCTCCGTTTCAATGGTGGCTTTAAGATTAAGGTGTTTGTCATGTTTCCTCCTATCACGACTGCACCGCCTTGGAAAAATACACATTTTCTGGGTGTTATTTCAAATGAAAAATTGTGATTTTAAAGTTAGATTAATCTGCAAAAACTTTTTACCAAAGCTCTGAGTTTATATTTCTCCAACAGGCCTGTCTTTTTGTACGTCTGTTGACCCTGTGTGAAATGAACGGCTGTGATATGTGCGTACAGTCGATGCGTTTGTATTGTCAGCAAAGCCAACGTCCGTATCAGTGGCTACAGAGTAGGCAAAATGGCATTCAAAGCTGTCAATTTGAATAGAATAGGGTCTGGGGAGTTGTGACATGCGATGGCCTCTATTTGTGGTGGTTTCGTGTCTGCCTTTTTGGTGGTTTATATGTGCCCAAAACAGCACCTCGATCCTGAAAGCAACGGTCCGTGACCACGGGGTTGGGGTGAAAGTGTTTTCCAAGTCAAATAAGCTGCAATGCCTGCCAGAATGACTGTTTGCACTGCAACATGTGGGGATTGTCTATGTATATCGTAATGTTAGGGACTGTTTGTGTTAGGGTTTTGACTGTAGATGTATTCTGTTTTATTGATCATGTTTTTGTCCAGCAGAAAATGAAGGCAGTGGGTGTTTAAACAGTTGGGAGGCTTTGCCCCATTATGATATGAAGCCCTCAGCGATATAAGCTTTTCCTTTCTATCTTAAATCGTCTCACATCAATTGCCACTTTAGACAAAGCTCAGTCACGAGAGCTCTCAGGAATGTATGGCCATTCATGTAACACCTGAGCGAAATGCCTTGCAATAGTGTTTGTGCGTTCATGTTGCAGCACGTGTGTGTTTTCGTAGAAGTTCAAAGATATGCTATGCAAATCAAATAACTAAAAACAGGGTCTAAATTAATTGCGGCTGGTGTGTATTATTAATTATAGATTTAGTTAGATGTTTTGTTAGCTGTATTTATATATTTTTGTAAAACCATTTTTTTTAGAAATTTGCTGCCTGCTTTTCAGGAATTTTCATGTAACACAGCTAATACTGTTTATAATTACATTTGCATTTACTAAATTAATAAAACTTTTCTAAGTCATTATTTTAATGGAAGGCAGGACACCGAATTTGGTTATTTCCATATATTCTAATATCTCTAAACAAAAAAATATGATTAAATGTGTGGAAATTTACTGTAACTTTAATAGCCATCTTATAATTATTTTAATAGTAATAGAGGTGTAATAGAGGAGCAATTAGGTGATAATAGTGGCAGTTAGTATTTAGAATTACATCAAGGGCTACACCCTGCCAAAAATGTTAAATTTCTTCAACCAAAATATGTGTGAAATATTGACAAGTCAATTGGGTTAAACTTATATAAATTTTTTTTACCTAACTGTTGAGTTTATCCATAACGTACCAAAGTTTAGGTTGAAATACAGTGCTCAGCATATATAAGTGCACCCCTCACAAATCTATCTTTTAAATTAATATTTTTAATAGGAAGCTATAAAATATTATATTTGTGCAAATACATTAGATTAGTCAGTACTGAAGCCAAATCTGGAGCTTATCTAACAAAAAACCTCTGATAAAGGTCCAAAAACGAGTACACCCAAATTGATATGTTATAGAAAAATATTAAATACAAATTAGAAAAAGAGGAAAAATCACGAGAAGCAAAAAAAAAAGTTACATTTTAGTTGAAATTTTGTAGATTGTAATTTTGTTTTGCAATGTTTTTCTTGAATTTAATTGTATGATATTTCTATTTCTAAGTATGTTTGGTGACAAAAATATTATTTTAATAAATATATCTGTATAATAAATCTGTAAGTGCACCAAAATACTTTGCCTATATTCACTGAGAAATGGATAAAAATATTCATTTTCAAAATGGGCTGTACTCAATTATGCTGAGCACTGTAACTCTATAATAGTATTAAACTGATAGACATAACGAACATTGTATGAAATGATCAATAAAAACAATATCATTAATGATATCAAGAAATCAAAATTAGTTTACAAATAAAAAAGAAAAGACAATTGTAACAGAGTTTTACACATGTCTCTTTTAATAAGATACATTCAATTTCATTGTGCAATGTCTGGAGGTGTGCAGCTTCTCTGATCATTAATTTTGCCTGAATGAATGAATGCTCCTGTTATCATATGTCCGTCAATGTCCCACATAATGCCTTTTCTCCCCATGTCAATTGCACTTCATTCAACATACCTTACAATCTAATAAATAAATGTAACATCTTTTCCCCAAGAGCTCTGGCATACAGTATAGTGAAGTGAAACTGGTATCCAAAAAGACAAAAGTGTGATTTTTATAAAAAAAAATTTTAAAAAAGGCCGAACATTTAGACATCAGCATTTTTAACACCCTGAACATCATCAACAACAACAAAAACAATGCAAACTGCTCAGTTGTTTTACATGAGATTTGCCTATTCAATTAGTTTTCTTGGAAAAATACAAGAACAATGTTTTCACAGAGAGAAGCACCAAAACTGAACTCAGGTGAAGTGATGATGCAGTTTAATGAGGAAAGCCCACCACTACCAGACCAAGTGCACCGATGTTTTTACTGCTCAATCCTCTGCTCAGATCAGAAATGAACACCTTTTCATATCCATGAGACTCTGATATGGAGCAAAATAATGTGGGCATCCATGGCTCGTCCACCAAGTCTTTTATAAATATTGTAAAGTGATTGGTCCATGTAGAACGAGCCAGACTGTTGCTTGTTACCCCACACTGATTCTCATAGTACAGTCATAGAGCTGAAGCCACCAGCGAATGGACGGAGTCTCGTGTGGCACTCATGCTCTTGAATGCCAGCGGGCTGCTAATGTCACAGCTGTGGGGAGAGAGAGCACTGCCACTGGGCGGCTGCCATGTGGGGCCGGTCACATAGGCCGACGTGGTGCCGCTGTACCCCATGTAGGGTGACACTTGGGTGGGAGGGTGGTAATGATGGATGCTGGGAGCTGTGACATAACTGTTCACTGTGGGCAATCCATTCGGCGTCTAGAAAACAGAGAGCAGGGAGGGTAAGACTTCTGGAGACAGACCACACACGGCCACAGAGAAGGACATAAAGATATCTAGCGAGGATGAGATGGTGTCATGTGAACGTTAAACAGAGTCTTTGGAGAGTCTGTGGATAGGACAAGATTGGAAAATGGAAAAGCTACATTGAGGGAAATGCAAGTCTGTAACACATTGGCAGATTGTCAATATCAGTTCAGGATGAGAGCAATTCACCAAGGCTTTTCAGCATAAAGGGAAGAAATTCTGAGGCAGGGTGGTCTTTGACTACTGGAAATGTTTTGCACAGATGAAATCGCCTTTGTTGCAGAGTAAGAATTTGCCCGTGATTTACTCGCTATAACATTCTTGACCTTTAGCGCTATTGCACACATGTAGATACATGCATGGATATGGTATTCATTTAATAAACAGCACAGAAAACAAGCCACATTTGCATTGTGCACGAAAAGCATTCGTTGCAAGTCATGCGCAAACTAATAAAACAAAAACGAAATTAAGTTAAACTGACAGAGGTGTGTGGTAAAACCTGACTTTTAAAAATGAAACGCTTTAAAAATGTATAATGATGAATTCATAAGGATTTTAAAAAATGTTCAAGTGAAGTCAAAAGTTCGGACGGTTCATTGACCATCAGTGAAAGGTACAGTTGCCTATATGAGACAAACAGGCCCACACATGAGCAGGTCAAAGTGGCTGTTTTAGTGGGTCATCGCTTTATTTTCGTTTATATCAGACTTAAATTATGTGATGAACTTTTATGATCGTTAAGAAAGTGTTGCTGAGATCGAAGTCGTCGGAGTTCATTTTAAACTAGTGCGCAATAAGGAAAGTTGTTTTTCTAAAATGTTATAATATATTCGTGCAAATGTTACATTTAATTTGCATCAATTGCACGCCGTTGGTGTTGCTATCACAGATAATGTAGGATAAGGCATACCTGTGCAAGCAAACTATTTTTTTCAAACAACATTTTAATACATTGCAATAACAGCAAAGTTTCACCGAGGAGCTGACGAAAATACGCCGAGACAGGTTATCTAAGCCTCGAGACAAAATATAGCAAAATAATATTTTCTTCGATCGAGTTGTATGTATTTCGGTCCTTCATGAACATATCAAGTTTTTCACTCAGTGTTTTTGATATCTTCCGGCATCGTAAGCTAGTCTTTATAATTACCATTAAATAACATAAACATAAGAGTAAACATAAAACAAAACAAATACATATCTAAGACTTCTCCTAATCCTTGAACTGGTGTTTCTATGTTTCTGTTAATTATGTCATTATGCCTTGTCCAAATATTTCACATAATAAACATATGCGTCATTGTTTTTGTGACCCCACAAAATGTAAAATAAAATAATAAAAAAAAGTAATTAGATTTGTAATGTATGCATCTGGGATGATACAAACTTTTTCTGAAAAAAATTAGCCAAATAATATCGAGTATATAATTAATAATAATAGATATTCTATTATTAGTCTACACACATGTATCAGTTTAATTTATGAAATACGCAAAACAATTTGTTTATTAAAAGTACTTTTAGTCTTCGGTACTCTTTCTTGTTTTTTAATTATATATTTTCGGGTTTCAAGCTGACATGCTTTCTGACAGATATAAATAACCTATTTAAACCACAGCCATTTATCTGTTAAGTGTCCTCATTTATTGCGTAAGCCGGTCTGAATCGTGATATCTGATCATTTATCTAAGATGACAGACTCAAACATTCAGTAGTCAGTGCTATTCATCATCTATCTGAAGCTTACAATCTTCATTTCGTAAGCAAAATGTACTCTGAATTTTAGGTTCCAATCAGTATAGCCTACGCATAATTTCCGCCAAAACAATGTTTCAGCATCAGTAATAACGATTTTTTTCATCGAATTCTACGACACATAAATCTCAAAGACCCACAATAAACGATGTCAATCTGTTTGTTGCTGCCCAGCAGTGCGGGAATAAATAATTCGTCAGTCCCCTCCATTGTCCGCGAACGCTCTCCTTTTTGATTCAAGTGCACGAGATTCTTGACAAATACAGCGTTTGTGTTCAACATGTCGGCACGGACCTGAAGTGTGCAGCAGCACTCGAATATCAAGAACAACAGCCTCGAGCCAGAGGCATTTCTTAATAACCTATATGAATAATTATGATAATAATAATGATAATATCTATCTGAGAACTACCTTCATTGAAAACATATGGAGGTAAGAGGTTTAGCAATCGGTGGTTTCTAGTGAACAGAGAATACATATTGTAATAATGTTCACGTTTAAGTGCTAATTAAAACGAATATAATGCATAGGCAGTTTCATGACTAAAGACAAGTGGCTTCAAATGGAAGACTGCATTAAAAACCCAACACTCACTTACATAATTACTACTAATAATTTATTGTTATAATCATTTATTGTTAGCTATGTTTGCGTATATTTATTAATGCACATCAGTGCATTAAAGCGTTAATAAAACAATAAGCAACAACAGGACTTTATCTGTACACGAAATATTTAAAATTTTAATAGAGCTATTGTTGAATTGTAGCTTTTGTTATAAACAACTAATAATATCTAACAGTATGTCTGTACTATTTTTTTCTTTTGCTCGTCTTGCATATACACGTGTTACATTAAAAAAAAGTGCAAATCATTTATCTGGACAAATATTTCTTAGGGGATAAAATAACTTCGTTAGGTATTAGAAAAACGTTGTTTGGCTATGAAGTAAAAGAAACCGCAATATATATTTATACGTTTTTATCAGGAAAAAGCAGGATAAAAATACTGTTTACTGATATTTAAATTATTTATATGACAACCTTTATTACCATTTTATTTGCCACATTAATACGCACTCACATTTAAAGAAAAAAAAACATATATATACACACATTTTAATACGTGGGAAATACACCCATTAAATTTTTTTTTTTTTTTTTTTACAAAAAGCACCAATAGTCCAACATATTTAACAGCTGCGCGTATACATAGACACGTAAATGTCGTAGTTCGTTTTAATAAAATGGAAACGTGCATTACTAAAGTTAATTTGTAAATACGTCATAAAAAAGCAAACAAAACCCATTGACCCACACGTTGTACACGGCCTCGTACAGTATGCCCACCCACTCCAAAACACACGCCAAAACACAGACCGACACACACACACACACACACACACACACACACACACACACACACACACACACACACACACACACACACACACACACAGGGAATTACAAAGTGAAAAAAAAACATATATATGTTTTCATTTTTTTAAATAACTTTTAATTAGGCGAATTTGATTTTTCTTCTTCTTTTTTTAGATTGGCTTTTTACCTGGATACCTAGAAGAGGCATTTTTTACCTGGTTGTATTTTGCTTCAGGTTCTAAGTGAGGCTTATCCACACCATTGACTAGTGGAGAATTCGCTGGTGAAAAATTACTCCTGTTAATAGCTCTCCATTCTTCTAGTTTGGCGCTGGGAAAGGACGGATTGTCACTAACTGGGGGGCAAAACAGAAACATGGAAGACTAGAGTCAGACAGGACAAGCGTGGGGAGGAGAACTGCCACAAGAAGTACTTATTCAGTACAATCTGCTGTACTGACAACACACGTAGACACACGTTATGTATATAGTGTCATATAATAACAGCGTGTGCAGACTGTATCATTAAAATACATCAAGACACATTTTTGTATGCAATAATACTTATAAGGAGATCATACGTTTTATCAACTTATTTTATAAGTCACAACGGCGCTCTTCCTGTTCATACGAATGAAAACACACCAGGATGTGAGTTGAGATGGTTAATTCTTTCTGATGCTCACAATACAAGAAGTCCTGCTGAACATTTACCCAGCGTCTTCCTGGGAGGACAAATTAGATTTACTTTAACCGTTTCCCCTTTGTGCCTGATGGATATTATATTATACACGGTTCCTAAAGTTTGAAATTGGAAAAGCAAGCCCACCAGTGTTGTAACCTGAGAGGGCCACAAAGTAGATTTCCCCCATTCCATCACGTGTGGATCTATGTGTGCATCTTTGTATTGTTCTCAAAGCATAACCAGGAATACGACACAACAATACGACATTTTTACAAACTGTTCTGTAGCTTATGCACATCGATCATTCGGGGATCACGTGTAGTCGCTCTTATATTTTAAAAAGGTCGATTACGTTAAACAAATCTACAGTTTCAAAAAGAAAATGTAATTAAAATGCACAGGTTACTTAGCTTGAAGACCCGATGATGTTTGAGCATGAACAACCATTACTCAGTGTCTGTGTGTGTACGAAAGAAAAAAAGAGAGTTGCTCCATTGGTTGTAGGTGAACTCTAAATCATGACAAACTGTCTAAAAGTTTTCAGCATGCATTCTTCCTGTCAAACCCTCCTCGAAAGTACGTTTCGTATTTGCTTCACTAATGTTGTAAATAGTGAAACAGTTGCACGCTACACGTTTTTCAGTTTTCCAAGATCATACTTTATTTACGTTTTCAAAAGCTGCCGTAAACATCTGCTTATCGTTTAGAAATGCAGTATTGGTTAATAAAGGCCGCCTAAACTCAATATCCTCATCTGCGTTTGAAGCATTATTGTCAACACTGCCTTTGAAAAGGCGAACAACTACAATTAAATAAGACAGGCTGCGGCCTTTACATGATACTGTACGCATAAAACAACAGGATAAGGCAAACAAACAGATTTATCAAGGTTGCATATAATGTTATTCCGTTTCCACGTTTCCTTAAGATAATTTTAATATTCACTAAATGACCGACATAATTGAAGTCGTTAATTGAAGAAAATAAAACGTTCGGCCTCAATTCAAGTCCATAACATGCTTAGGCTAATGAAAAGCCTTGCTGTGTAGGCATTCGCAAATTGTTTTTAAAAAAAATGTACTTGAAATAAATCGTGTAAAATGTGGGCCCTAGTAGCCTATATAACGCTGCTGGCCTTAAAAAGCATTTTTTTCCTCTTGGCTGGGCCAATTCTTCGTTATATTCCACATCCGCTATATAATTATTACTAAAAGCCTTAAACCGTCTGTTTTATTGCAAACGTGGAGCTTCTGCAAACATTTCAGCACAATGTTTGAATCATCCCACATCGCTTTAAAAATTTGTTCGTATTTAAAATTTTGCGGACTTGTTAAATAATTGCGTCCAATAAAATTATCGACTTTTGTATAGCTTTTAATTTCAACAACTTACGTTTTAGTCAGTCCATCGCTACAAAAACATCTCATTTAATTTCATTTGAGAAACACAGACATGCACAAAATGTCACACACGCTTTGACAGGCCTGAGAACAGTCTTTTGGCATGTCCACAGACACACAAAAACAAGGACAAAGTTTGTATTACCAAAAACTGAGAGGATGCTTACTTTGCTGCTCCGTTATTGATCGAATGCCCAGAATATCTGTAACAGAATGAGAGGAAGGCCATATCCTATGCATTGCCATATGTCCAGGAAGAGTGGGCATGCCAGGCGGAGTTGGTACTTTAGTCCCAGCGGCTGCTATTGGAGTTGGATACGAATACAGGTGGTTGTAGGGTATGGTGGGTTGAGGTTGAGGATGAGAGGCCTGTTTGCTCGACTCGTACTGGTTCTGTTGAGACAGATTCCCGATCTTGTTGCGGAGAATCCTACTAATTGAGCTGACAGAGGGCAAATTAAATTTATCACATACGCCGTCCGCGAGCAGTCTGTCTCGAATCTCCCATGCGAAAATACCAGGGTCCCGTTGCTTGTAAGTCCTAATGTGCTTGACTACGTTTGGGGTCGTGACCCTCGGTTTACTGCCGCCGATTGCACCGGGAAGTATTGAGCCGGTTTCGTTGTACCGAGCCAGAATCTTGCTCACGCAGCCGTGGGAGACGCGGAGCTGCCTGCTGATGTCACAAGGCCTGATGCCCAACTGGGCCAACTCTACTATCCTGAGCCGGATGGCATTGGGTAGGGGTCTTCCGTTGACAAAAACACCGCCTAGTTGGTTCACCTCCCCAAAGGCTGGCTCTAGTTATGCAGATATATAAAAGAAAAAAATAGCATAAAACATCAGATATACCTAGGCAATGGATCGTTAAACTTTAATATTTCAGTACGTCGGATTCATTTTCGATTAAATTCGATTTATCTATGTTTTGTGTTTGCTTTCAATTAAAGATCGTGTTTGCTTCTCTGTCAATGTTTACTGCAAAAAGCTAAGTGTCACAAAACAAATTCTGTCATGATACACGAAATTGTACATTCGGTAACTTAGGCACGTTTTGGACGCGATTACGCACAATCGCAGCAATGTGCCATTCTAATTTCCGAAATGACGATCGAAGCATCAGTCGTTTTAACAGTTTTGAGTCAAGAACTGAACTATATATTACTTATATGTCGAACAGTTTTTTTTCCCCTCAAATGTGTTAATGCATGCCCGCTCCCATGTGGGAAAACATGAATATAGATCTTACCCATTGCGTTTAGCCTCCCGAGGAAAAAAGAAACTTCACTATGCTGTCCTATTCTGACCTGTTCCGAGTCCAGTTTAGCTGGTAATTATTGCACCGAAGCCGATGCAGATGAAAATTAAGCGTCCGAGACGGATGTGATAGCGATTAGTTGCAAGAGAGGAAAATTCGCCTTCTGTTTCCTTATGGCAGGGAACACAGGCTTACATTTCAATCCTGAAAATGGTGGGCTGGCCATTTACACATGTCTCCTAAACGAGGTGCTGCCAGCCAATCACACAGCGAGGTACTTCCATGTTGTTTTTCTATTGGCTGACAAGTTTGACATGACAGGCGTTTGCACTAGCGTAGGCTTCCCCTTTCGCGTTTGAACTAGTGGACAGGGTTCCCCGAGTCTTGATTTTCTTTTTAGACACATCTTGAATGGTAAGTGTTTGCAACATTGCACTGTAATTTTGTTTCATAAGCATAATTCTAATTATTACGTCGACTAGAAGAGTGGAGAACTTTGCGTGTCTTATCCTGATATCATCTTTAATTTGATTCTGACGCGTCCGCTTTATTGAGTGGTTCGTATAAATATAGTAGGCTAAATAAAAAGGCAATTTTACAAATGCATTTTGATTTGGTGGTATAGCAATAGACTAGTTTCAGACCAACGGTTAAAATGCTGTTTGATAATAATAATAATAAAAGAAGAAGACGATGGCTGGTGAAATATGGAACAATGGATCAGCCCCGTCAGTCGTTTTACGAATAATTTATTTAGGTTGATTAAAATTAAATAGCAAAATGTGGATGGTTTACATAATCAAAATGAAATTTAGCATCAACTCTTCATAATACACAGTTTTTCATATTAGTCACTCGTATAAAAGCATAAATTTGGCAAGGCCATAAGATTTTTTTAGGCTTCATTGATTTTCGTGGGATTATGAATTGATGGCATAATGATACAGTTATTTAAATATATATAAAATGACGACGACTTGAAAAGGGTAAACAAACTATTTCTGTGTATGTTTGATGAAGTGAATGTGAGCCATCAGACTGGCACAATGGTTAAAGAAATAATAAATTCTTAATAAATATTGTTTTAATTGAAGCTTGTTTACTAGTTACACATAGCACATAGGCACCATTAAAAGTTAGGCTAAGTACGGTTCATGTTAAATGTGTAAATGTATTATCGAGTACACTAGGATTAGTAATATATATATTTAGTAGTATTCATTATTAGTAATGCCTACAGGATTTGATAAAATTTTAGAATATGTAAAAATGTGTGGTAGGCTATTGTTTAGCTGCGCTCAGGCCTGTTAGAACACTATAAAAGCCATTGCAAAGATAGTGGCAAGTTATTTGTATTATTGTTGTTTCCTGTTTACCTAAGATACTTGAACCCTTTCAAGGTTTTCCCTATCAGCGTTTGGTTTTCTCTTATGGGGTGTACTATCTTAGACTTCACAAACTTTACTCTTTACCTAGTTCAAATCTCGCAGCTAACTGGAGTTTGACTTATCTTGCTTTAGTTTCATTACATTTGGGTGAGGGAAAACAAATTAGCTTTCATTCATGCTTATACGTTTAAATAGTGTCCTTACAAGTATATTTACGATTCTCATATTGTATGTTGTACATTTTGACGTTCCCTTACGCGCAAGCTCATAAGAATTCACTACACCACAGCAGTATGTTTTCATCTAGGCTGATTTTAGGGCCCATATCCTCTGTATTGCCACTCATTAAACGATTCTTAATCGTTGAAGTACCTAAAATCACCCAAATAATAATGTTTCTAATCAATCTAAGGACTTTGGATATTCAAAGTATTTGAATTATTCAAATCAGCCTCTTGCGTTTTAAAGAACTACCAAAGTAAACACCAAAGATTTGGCTTGTTTGCTGCTTTAGCCGAGTGAAGGGACAAAGCTAAACTGAAAGCGATACGGGGTAAACGTGATCGTCTGATTTATATGGGTGAAGTGTCTATGCAAGAGCGTGTTATAGGACGACAATGCAGTTACTATCCTCCAGATTAGATGGAGTTTCTTAAATAATTTTAATGTGTGGTTCGTTTACTGGCTGCGTATCATGTTCTCTTGCGTCGTTTGTTATGATTGCAGAAGGAGGGCATAAATCCAGCGCACTAACTTACCACCGAGAGATAGAGAAAGGGGTGCGTTAATGAGGTGTGAAGACTGATGTGAAAGGCAGCCTGCTTCTGCCGCACTTGCAGCCTTTGCGTGGGACAGACCCACATGATATCTTTCTTTTGTCTTGGTTATAAAACACCATGAACTTCTTGAAAATAGTCCATGAATGAATTATTATACACAAAACTATCATACATTCACAAGCCTCTTCTATGATCGCAGCACTGAACATATAAAAGAATTGCCTTTATTCCCGTATGTAGTAATTTTAGAATATATGTAATGTTTTTGAATATATAATGATTGGGGAAAACTTAAAATTTGAAAATGATGACAAAAAAATAGGAAAGACAAACTTAGCCTACTGGGAAGTCGATGTACAATTGCACAAATGCATAATTTCTGTAACTTTTTATTTGTAATTTATTTTTACTGGTTTTAATTTATTAGACATGCATATTTATTCTACAACAAATTAATTGCTTTATTATGGCCGGTTGCTGTGCTGAAATGACATGATAATGTTGTGTCTTGGATGAGATACACAGCAGTTTATTTTAAGCTCGAGCTGCACAGACTGGTGTTATGTTTGTGCGACGTTCTACGCCTTTTTTTTTTTTTTTTTTTTTTGGAAAGATAAAAGAATTAGTTTAAATAGATTAGCCCAGAGTGGAACTTTTGTAACCATTTATTTACGTAATTTCGTTTCAGACTGTTTAGTTGAATTCCTTTGGATATAAGCAAAAACATAAGATATTTTAAGAATGCTGTAAATCATACAGTATTGTACCGTCGATATTTATTTGTGCAAACACAATACTGAAACGTTTCTCAAAATATCTTCTTTTAAAAGTGTCCTGCAAAAGAAAAAAAATGTATGCAGATTTGGAACTAAGGTGAGTAAATGATGACAGTTTTCATTTTTGTATAAAGCTGGTTAACAGTAATTCGGTTAATACCATCAAGCACAAGTGACGCATCACATCGTCACGCATCATTATTATTAAATATTATTCTATAGGTAGGCCTACATATTTTAAAAGGCTGTCAGTATTTCGATAAAGCACATGTTTTACAGATTTTAACGATGTAGAGTATCATTCATACAAATTATGTATCGTTATTATTTCTCCGTGACCCCAAATTGATCAAATAAGATTTTGTTGTTAGTTTGTTAGACCTCAATTTCAGACCTCAATTCAAAGTCTTTTTTGTTCGTAAATGTGTTTTTTAAATAATTATATTAATAATAAAAAAGTCACCGTATAAATAATCTTGTCCTGTTTTTTGGAACTGCTTCAAGTTTAAAATGTACGTTCAAATTAAATGTACAACAACATAAATTCGTTAGCGTTGTTAACAGATAAAATAGCCAGTTAAATAGAAACAATTCAATTTATTCAAATTAATGATGAAAATAATATTACTATTATTATTTAAAAAGGTCTTTGCCAATTCGAACCGAAATTATCTTTATTATTTAGAATGTATTAAAGTGTTTGCATTTAAACTAAATTATTAATATTTAGAACTACTTGGAATTATTATTATTATTATTATTATTATTCAGCAAACAAATAGTTGTCAATAAGTGTCCTCAATAATGGAGTAAAAAAAACAAAGTTCACGTTGATATACTTAAAATTTTAAAAACTATCATCTTAAAACTGATCGCACACATTGACACATGGTCAGAGAGGGTGGAAGTCAAGAGTTTATTTTGACTCATTACACACCTCTCAGCTGCCATGCGCTCGTTACTCTTGAAAGGATCTGACCCTCAGATAGTAATGACTTTGTACATTAAGAGTAGTTAATCTCGATTTAAGAAACGCGCTCAAAGAATGTCAGGGCTCGAAATTAGGAGAACACTGATTGTGGAAATGATTTTAATCATCCCCTCTTCTCTGTGTTCTTTAGAGTAAAGCCGATGTCATCAGTCAATATACAGCCGGCTGTGGGGGGCCACGAAGAGCCCAAAAGGTGACGGATGAGCGCAAAAGAAAATAGGTGATTCTACGCGAGCATGCACAGTAGTATTTACTTTTTTTTTTTTTTTTTTTTTTTTTTTTTGATAAAATGATAGGGGAAAATCTATTGTTTTGGGCTTATTTGAGGGTCTGACAATGTTTTGATACGGTCTTGGATATTTATCCTTTGGCATGGGCTGCTCATTCATAAACGGAAGGAATGGAAAGTGCATGGTTCGAGTCAATGACATCCACTTTTTAGGCATTAGACCAACAACTTTTACTGCGTATGATTAGATACCAGTGGAGACTCAAAGTGTTTACCCACCTCTGAAGAAACACTCGCAGCGGTTACTATCTGTATTTATACACTCATACCGCTCGGTTCTAGTTCGGCCGTTTTAAAATAGCTTTCAATGATCGACCAGATACATTATATCGCTATTTCAATGAAAGTGGTATTCTGAAAAATTAAAATGGTTGGTTAGTTTTGCATGATCAAATAATCTGACAAAAGAAAATGTTACTGAGACATTTTTTTTTTACATGTGCTTGGCCTATGGAAGTTTGTGAATGCAAAAGACAATGGTTTGGTCCAGAAAAGATTTGCAAACAACCAAAAATCAAAATAAGGATGAAAATAATTACCATATTAGTAAGTTCATTGATTTCTTAATAAAAGTTTATTAAATGGCAAATATTAAATATTTGCGCGATTATTTATTTTTTTTTGCATTATATAAACGTGTCATGCTATTTGTCATGGTATGTATTTGGACCGAGAGACGAGTTTTTCTTCGGTTTATTAAATGACTAAGGAAAAGAAAGAATTCCATAAAGAATCTCAAAAATATGCAAATATTTGACAACTTTTTCATAATTTAAAATAAAATCTACAAAACATGGTAATATGTTATATAAAGAAGTTGTATATTAGTTGTATGCTTTTCGAAGTTGTATGGCAACAACAAAACTGACGAATGTGAAATCAGGTTCATGCATGTCAAAGGTTAACCGATGCATGTGAACTAGAAAACATTTTATTTAAAAATAGTAAAAAAAAAAAATCGAAAAATAAGAACTTTCCTATCCATACACTTAAAAACCTTTAATAGAATTCACAAGTGTTCTTTACGGTAGAAAATTGTCTTTTTCGAAAAGGTATTCTAACAAAAAATGTTCTATAAAGAAGCGTTCAATAAAAGGCTCACTGGGGAACCAAAAATTTTTCTTTTATGACATGCAAAACTTTATTTTGCTACTTTTTAGGGGTGTATAATTTACAAGGATTGTTTATCTAGTGATCAAACTATACTTAATATATTGCACAAAAAACAAGCAAACTGTTCGAAAGATAATTATTGCATATATTCACAAACGCTTTAGATTAACATAACTTAGAGAATAATACAACGTCATGTCATTAATAACGCATCGCAATAATCATATGATATATTTAGGCTTAATTGTAATGTTAATTTTGGTGTCAATGGTGTTGAATAAATCAACACATTCGAATAAATCAACACATTCAGTGTGATCGAAAAAAAAATGTCTCGAGAGAAAAAATTCTCTTGGTAGACTGTGGTTGGACTTTTCAGTTGAGTCAACGCTGAGAAAATGGTCCCAGTTTGTCCATAGTCACTTTCTGCAGTGACAGCATGTCACAAATATTGGGAACAGTGCTTTCTTGGTTTTTGTTCTCTAAAAAAAGGTTTAAAATAAACGAACTATGCCTAATGTGAACGGAATAATAATAAAAATAAAAGCAGCAACAACAAAAACAACAATAATAATAACAATAATAAACACTTATCAACTGTTAAGACTCCAGCATGATTAAATTAGATAATATTATTAATACTCTAATGATGCTGAAAAGCTGACTGTGATTAGCTGCTGCATACATTATACTATGGATGATTTTACTAGAGGCTAAATAACAATAAAAGGATCAACTGCTCACCATAACTCTTATACCGAATGGAATTGACACCATTAAAATGCTTTGCAAGTTAACACCTCTGAAAGGTTGACTGCTCCTGTAACTTAAATCCGGCCGTAATGAGGACTTTCGCAGATTAACGATAGGTGTTTGGGGTCAGTTTGAGAGATTTAGATAATAATGTTTGAGAACATTATTTACTATTGTAGTAAGCATCGATAACATCGACAGCTTTTAGATTCTTTACCTGTACTTGATTATTTCATTAAATAAACCTTAATTCCAGTCAATTTCATTTTTTTTACATGAAAAAAATGTTCCAGATTTTAAAACAATATTTTATTACGCCAAAATGGAAAAGGTTTTATTAAACAAATAAATTGTATACCAGAAATGTAAACTAGAATAATTTGCTTTAGTACCTTTGTTTGCATTTTTTTTTCATTCCAAATGTATATATGCTACGTTCGTGCCATATACACTATATGAAATGTTTGAGTTGTTTTAAAGGAGGGTGATGTACAATTTTCTAATAAATAAATGCATACATACATACATACTTACATACATACATAATCTCATGGTATGCCTCAATTTCCGCTCTGCTCAATCAGTCACATAGGAAAGCTTTCCCTTACAATCTCAAGGTCTAACAGTTTATTGATAGCTTCAGGGTAAGCCAATAATGGTGATGTAGCTCCCCCTGCTGTTTGAGTTTCGCCTTTCGGAGATGCATGGATGAAAAAAGAGGATTAATGTTCAGATATCCGCTGTTTGAAAGTGAAGACAAAAATGTTCACTTTGTATAGAAAAATTTAGCATTTTTATTAAGCCGGTGAAACTAAAATTATTACAATAGAAGCTAAGTGCAAATATTATTAGTCTGCCCTGTACATTTTAACAAGTTAACAAAGTGTCATAAAGAAGGTTTACAGATCACATAGCGGGGGAAATATATCAATGAAAATAAAATGCATAAATCAGAACATCCCTGACAACTGGATAATGCAGAAGATCACCGTACAATACTGCTTATGTGTTTCTACAGTATTTCCCCAAGTCTGGTCCTGGAGCACCCCCAATAGGTAATTTGTGTTACAACAAACTGTAAAAGCGTGTCTTTTCCTTTAAAACATTATTTTTTTCGCCGAATAAAGCCATTTTACGAGGCGTTGCAGTGTTTTCTATCAAACTACAAGGCTTAGCATTTTTACACTAAGGTTTGGTAAATTACAATTCTGCATAGCACGAATCATAGACATAGCAGCAGCAGAGAGTGACAGAGCACACACAGCGTGTTCTGTCTTCATATAAAATGAATAGTATTCCCAAAAATGAAAATGTCATAATTCAATCCAGTTTCTTTTGTTGAGCACACAAAATTATTTCTAATATTGTTGTTGGGAAACATATCGACGGTTTTTTTCCCCAACAACAAAATAATTACAAATGTTCGGAACCATTTGTGAATAAGTGAAAACATTTTGTGTGAACTTTACCTTTAAGTAGTTACCTTTCTAAATAATAAAATCGTCAAAACGTATACTATTGCATGTATATGTAACCTTTAAAAATACTGGTTTTCGTGCATAGCATTGCCTACCATGAAACGATTCATGAAAGTTTCGGAGTAGGAATACACTGTTGTTCATCTAAATGTGGACATCGTTAACCGTAAAGAAGTAAAAGAGCTCGGTCCACTTTTAAAAATAACTCATGTTTTAGTTCAGTCATAGATAGAACTATTAACTAAAAGTTATGATTTGTAATGCTTGTTAATCTCGGCTTTAGATGATCCGCCCATGACCCGCCCTCTGTCAGTTAGCAGGGTGTTTTCAGAGGTTGCGCATCTTTCTTCGCTCTTCTGCTGAGATGCTAAGAGGACACGGGATTCGAAGCGAAATTTTTTTCGGCAACAAAAATAAATGTCTTGGTTAACTCAAACGGTTCAGTAAATGCCATCACCTATGCCTTTATAAAATATGTACTGGAATATTGCTTATACACTGTGAAAGTTGGGACTATATTTGCTTATTTAAAATGCAAATGAAAAAAGTTGAATATGTACCGTTAGAGAGAAGTGCATGTGTGTTTGTGTATTGTTCGGAGGTTTTGTTGTTGTTGTTTTTTGTATTAAATACATACTAAATTTGATCTGATCCGTAAAATCACAGAAAGACACACTTGTTATCTTTATGAGGAGTGTTCTTAAACTATAGCATTTGATAGAACAAAAGCCATGACAGTATTGTTCAGGATGAAACATCGTTGTTTGTGTGTTTGTTTGTTTGTTTTGTTTGTTTGTTTGTTTGTATTCATGAAGAGCAAGACAGACAAAAGACAGATAATGATATTAGCGAAGCCAAAAAATTGTTTCCACTTTATAAATCCGAAATGTGTACGCGATTGCACAGTGCGATATTCAAAGTATGTTCATGCTAACAGGAAAAAATAAAGAATGGCATATTCAACCATTGTCATTTGTGGTCAAACAGTTCTCTTGATAAAAGGCTCCTGCATTTGCCCGTCACATTTTAACATTTAGGCACGAAGAGTGTACTTTTCATATGATTTGGATGATTTTTATATGATATAAAATGTAGCCGTTAAGAGTTGGGTTTATGTTTTTTTTTTTTACTTCATTATGTCTGCCCAAAAATGGTGGGTTTAATATTTGAGTTTATAATCAGTTCACAGACAGAACTTGTGATTTTATTATTACTTTTGAGGCACAAAAGCCCCAATGTTCTTGAATTTAGATCGTTTTTGTGTGTAATATGTATGTATACGCCGTGTCCTAAAACGACCTAACGTGTGTGCATTAACTGTTCAGTGTGTGCATTAACTGTGTGAAATATGCTATTTTTCTTTATGTATTTATGTACAACATACAATTTTTTTACATTTGCAAAATTATGCTGTTAGTTTAAGAACCAAATTTTGCCCTTTTTGGGAACAAGTTTTTGTTGTTTATATATATTAAAAAAGCATAAATTACATTAAACAAAGAAAATTAAAATTGAAATTCAGAGCATTGTAAGTTTTGTTTTCTTGATGAGAATGTTTGCAGATGTCGTATTTAACATCGTTGATAAATAAACTAAATTATTTTGGTGAGTATCAAAGTTTGGCCATCTGTATTTACCCAAAGTTACTGAAATCTCAGAAGTATTTTTTTTAATATTAGACAATACAAGGTTTTTCTTTTCAGGGTGAAATGTTTATTCCTGTTGATTTGCTCTCTGATTCCCCCTGTCTGACTTTGGTTTGAGAAGTTAAACAACCAGGGTAAATATTTGACACTGAAGAGCTCTTGGGTGTTTGAGAGCGCACACTTTTCCTGAAGCATACTTCTATCTGTGGGTGTCTAATAGATTAAGGAGATACGAGAGGTCATTAGAAACTAAACTGTGTGCCTACACGAGGTTTTATTTATCCTCTGAGAGCGTGTGCTTAAATTAGAAGAGCTTGGTAAACAGTTTAACTCACTTTATGCAGGTTAACATCGATACGTTTGGGTGCGGCATGATGTCACTGCTATTAACCTGCTGTTTAAACCTGCTAAAAAGAAAATAATAATTAGCCTATAAAACACATTTTGTCTTGTCGTTTTCATTTTGAACGCAAAGATTTAGCAAATTTATTTTATTCATTACAACTATAAACTAAATATTTTAGCATCGATTAATCAGGAGATTACATTTTATAGAAACGACAAAAGTCCGCGTGGAAACGAATAACTAATAATAATTCAGTATAGACGTAAGCAGCTAGACGTGAGGCAGATAGTTGCCCAGATCCCATTTGGCCCTATTCAAAACCATGACAACACGAAACAAGCACGGATTTATTCGAGAAAGTTAAAGGACATTGTGCGGGGGCGTCAATCAAGCATTATTTCAGGACTGAACAAATGCAAAATCTTGACTGGAACAAATGCTTCCAACGGGTCTCGGACGCGGGGCTACATTTCCCTCTTTTGTTCCCGGTCGCTGGTTGGCATGTATTTGTGTTCTTTTTTCGCCCGACCACCCAGGACGACTAGACGAGGACGGATACCCAACTCTGTTTTGGGAGGGTCTATGCAGTCATCCAAAGCGCGCTCTACGGCTAGGCAGCTTCATCCGAACCCATACCATGCCAAGTGCACTTTAGGTGAGGTGCAGGAGTAAGCAGTAGTCCATATGGAAACATTAATGTCTGCTTGATGTCTGGATCTCTTCCCAAATTAAAATCAATAAAAAAAATCTCATTTAATGAGTTATTTAACGTTAAATATGCGAAGACGCAAGGTTTAAATAAATGTTGGATAGTCGCAAACCAAATTTGGGTCAAATATGGGCTAACCCAACCGCTTTGTTAATCATTTATTTATTAAAATCTTGAAATAATTTAAAATTAGCGCTTTTACCTAACGACAGAGTTTGTCTTTGGCCCATTTAAGTGTAGGCTAAACATTTACGTTTTAATTCAGTTTAAATGTTTACGTTTTAATGTTGTAAATTTTTAACAAAAGCGTCTTTACTGGGGAAACAATTGAACTTTTACATTATGCAAAGATTAGACTACTCCATGAGCCCATGAATTTATAACCTTTACGAATTAGCAACTCTAACCCCATGTACTGTACTGAGACAGTGCTCATTTAACCAGTGTTTGTGCAATAACATCTGCAATAAACGAGAATACCCCAATAAACGTATTAGGAAAAACCAACTCTCAGACGCTAATGGATCACTTTGTATGCAAATATCCGATATGTTATTTGAGCGGGGGAAAGAAGGGAGGGCTCTTGTTGTCACTTGCCACCCAAGACGTGATTCAGCCTCAACAATTACCATTATCTGTTTCCCACTTTTCACGATTTCGGACGAATCAGTAATGATGAAGAGTGTTACCCACCATCATTGTGAAAGTAACAGGCTATTATTTCCCGAGTTCACACCTACCATTACAGGGATTTAAGTACACGAGTCATTGAGATACTTAGAGCCTATAAGGAGGAGAGGCCTCAAAGCAGCCACCAAGTGCTGTTTATATAAACACCGCGACATCAGTGTACACATTGTCACTTCCATGTGCATCTTGAAACGCTCGCATCACTTCAGCACCGCGTTAACGAGGACAGCTCTTCAAGAACCAGTCCTGGAACTAATAGCAAACCTACGATACAAATGGCTATTTCAAACAAGTTCAGTTTCACTGTGAGAAGTATTTTGGATTTGCCAGAAAATGACACGGAAAGCATCGTACAGCATTCTCCATTGGACTCGTTTTCTGTCTCCCCTTACTCAACCTGGACTGAAAACGACAGAGGACATATATGTAAGTTTTTAAAGTTAACTCGTATCATTAACTAATATAAGAAGTATACATACAGGTTTACTTTACGTAGAGGTACCCATGTATAAAGGCTAGTCATTATCTTTTTTTTCCTATTTTTAGCGTCGGATGATAGCAATATTGAAGCTTCGCCAGACTCCACAGAACCAGATGTGCTCTCCGTGGACACAGAGCACGAAAAGAGGAAGAAGCGTCGCGTGTTATTCTCTAAAGCTCAGACTTATGAACTGGAGAGACGCTTTCGTCAGCAGCGCTATCTGTCCGCTCCAGAAAGGGAGCAGCTGGCGCACCTGCTCCGCCTCACGCCCACGCAGGTCAAGATCTGGTTCCAAAACCACAGATACAAAATGAAGAGAGCGCGGATAGAGTGCGCTCAGGACCTTAACCAGCCTCCTGTGTTGCGCAGAGTCGTGGTGCCCATTTTGGTTCGAGATGGCAAACCGTATCAGAACTGCACTATCGATACAGAAAAAGGAAACGGCATCGTTCCACCAACCGTGCCATCTTCACCGTTTACTGTTCAAGGTTTCCATTCTTTACAGCAACAGACGCCCTTTGCGCTTTTCCCCACATACCAGCACTTTACTAACACAGCGGCCTCCCGGCACCACTTTTGTGTTTGGTGAGACTTATGACAACACGAACTATTTCGGGACTTAGCGCAAGCATCCATCTCAATTAAAGTTGTTTTAATTGTATAAAGTGATAGGTCTATTCAAGTAGAAATATTCAGCGTTGATAAGATTTTTAAAAAATGCTGTTTGCACATATTAGATGGTCGATTTAGTTTCGTTTGCCCAGTTGCGTTTTGCAAATTGTTGTGTAATAAGTGCTGTCGTGTGTGATTTCCTAGTTTCATAGTTTATTGTTAAAATTTTGCATTTTTTTTCTGAACCAAAAGTTTATATATCAGTGAGAAAACCATGTTTTATGTAGTTTCATTTTTTTTATAAAATGAAGTGTTAAATGTTTTCATTCTTTATTCTATGTATTAAAAAAACTGAAAAAACACATTTAGCAATTTATAGTTCTCTTATTGTTCAAACAAATGGTTGGTTTATCCACAGATTTCAAGTATCTCGTTTTAATCATAACGATTGTAATATATTTAATTCCTCACTCGGATTTAAGACTTTTTTGTGTGTTTTGTTTTTTTGTTTTTTTTATAATTCGTTAACCTTTGCTGATAATCCCTCCGATTGTTACATAGTGTTTGTATAAAAGATCTCAGATTGGACTGAAAAGAGTATGAGAATTGGCGCGCAGCAAGAGATGAGTGGCTTTTGTAATGTTAAGACGTCCACTTTCTCCCAGCAGAGAAGACCAAATAACCAGCTTAAAGAAAGGACACTGTAAACACCGAAGAACAAATGATTCTGGAATTTGCGCATTCTACCACACAAATAACTGAATACAAAAATGTTGTCTATTTAACGAGATGTTGCTTGTTTTAAAGGTTTGATAACAGCTACAATGTTAATGTTCTTTAAAAAATGTTATTACACTCAAAATAAATTAGCAGTACTGAAAAACGGCACTATGACTTTAGAAAGTTCAGGCAAGTCACTCCATATTTAAAAGACACAAATCATTGTTGTAACATTAATGAAAGAGACGTGCTTTCTCAATACCGAGGTTGTCCCAATTAATTCAGCGACCCAGTTACCATCATCCTTGTCACCTGGCCCTTTGTCCCCTCTCTCCGGCCACCTTGTACTACATATGGAGGGGACTGACCGCCGCTCCTCTTCGCTACATCTTCCCTAAAACACTTTTTTTGTGTCGTCCTCTGAAAGGACCATTGTGTGCGTCCTAAAAGGACCTAGACAAAATCCGCAGCGTCTCAATTCTCGTGATGTTTAATCAGTCCCGGGTGACAAATTTATGGGCTTTAACAAGACAATGGAATTTTAAAAGTCGTTGGGTTTGGGGGTGACAAAGACAGGCTTTTAGAAGTCTCTGCTGGTTTATGACCAGACAATTTGGTAGCCTGCTACCGTAACTAAATTCACCAATTAAGTTTACGAGGTTATGTATGTCTCTTAAGTGTTTGTTCCTAATTCCTTTCCCTAAATATATAAAATAAATAAAACAAATAAAATTCAATACAACTGATATGAGGAAATTTATTATAGCACACTAGACAAAACTCTTGTCTTTATACATAACGCAACACGTGCAAACAAAACCGGTCTTATCGTTTCCATAAATTAGCCTATACAGCAATATATAAACTGATTACGACATAATGTCTTTTAAGGAAATCAGCTAACCAGATCTTGATGCCGTTTCTTTTGTAGCAATTTATAAGCTTGTCTGTAGATTTAAATTCCAACATATAGTCTTAAATGCCTTATTCAGTTGCAGCACTTACACAAAGCTTTACAAGTGTTGGTATTATCATGGTTGTTACAAAGGGATATGTTCATGCATCACTCTCAAAACTTTCGTTGGGGTTGTACCTTTTCATTCCCATTTTTACATAGAGACTACATATTGGTTAATATATATACAGTAGCCAACATTTGAAGTGAATTTTAAAAGACTAAAACAAGAATGGGTGTTTTTGAATATAGTTTTAGGATACTTTTGAATACTTAAATGGCTGGTTTCACAAACAAAGCTTAGCATAAGCCAGGACTAGCTTCACTAAATTATAAAATTAGGCATATTTTATAATAATGACTTAAAAACACCTTACTGGTGTATATGATACTATTAATATTTTTTGTTTTTTTTTTGTTTGTTTTTTTTCACTAAAAAGTTATTTTTAGATAAAGGGGAATTAAAAGTATGGCTTTATCACCCTCCACTTCTTTTAGTGGGAGTTCCTTTTTTGTTTCGTTGACCACAAAAAAAAGAAATATTGAAGTATCTTGTAAACCTAACCACTGACTTCCAAGTAAACTTTTGTGTACAACGTTCTACAATTTATCTACTAATTGATTTGTAACAAGTGGAGGGAGTGTAAATGATGTATATATACATTTTTCCTGATATCATGATTTCCAAGTCATGTCATGTCATACACTGTAAAAAATTAATCCGTAAAATAAAAAAAACCGGCAGCTGCGGTTACCAGTACTTTACCGTTAAAAACACGGTACAAACCTTCAAACCGTATATCTGTTTAATAAATCTGTTTTGTTGCACCAAAATACATTGCCGACAATCACTAAGAAACTGGGTGTACTCAATCGTGCTGAGCAATGTGTGTGCTTGTGTGTGTGTGTGTGTGTGTGTGTGTGTGTATGTATGTACGTATGTATGTATATGTACACATCCTTAGACCCGTTCCATCTATCAATTGAACTTGAGTTTATCAAATGTTCGGATTTTTGTACTAGAAATACATATAAAATAGCGCATATTTTATTAAATAACTCATTTGAATATTTAATTTATTGAGTTAAGCATGTTGATTTTATATATATATATATATATATATATATATATATATATATATATATATATATATATATATATATATATATATATATATATATAGTGGGTTTTAACCATATTCCTTTGTAGTGAAACATATTTTAAAAAACAATAAGGCGACCTGTTTTACAATTATCCAATTGATATGATCTTCCAGGGTATGAAAAACATGAAATAAAAAGCTAGAAAGACGCAGCAGAGACATTTGTTGACCTGATTTATCTAAATAAACGTAGATATGCTAATAGTAGTAACATATTCGTTTTCGTCTCCATTAGGTCTGACTGGCTTTAACTGCCAGGTGAATCAGGGAAAACAGGCGTGAAATCTCAGTGATGTGGTGCCACTCTGCCACCTTGAGGTTAACAGCTTCCTGTGGTAGGCTTAATCTGATTGGGCTGTGAAGGAAACGAATATTCCCATGTGCCATTTTTCTATGAGCCGTCACTGAACAAACCGCATGATTGTCCCTCTCCACTAGATGTCACAATAGTACCGTGCAGTCTGAAGTTTGCGTTATCTGCTGATAGAATTTACTGCACATTATATGTGCCAACATTATTAAAAAAATAAATAAAAATAAAAAAACCTTAAATAAAATATAAGAAAAGGAATATAAAGGATAATATCAAATAGAACATTAATAACATAGTATAATATAATATAATATAAAGACTTTTGGATAAATCAGGCATAATTCCATGTATATGCACAGCTGTCCGCATATTAAAAATGTATTAGTCACGCATGTAACGCTGAACAAAATAGCCTGGTCTACTTGTTTGTTAATAGACAAAATAGGCTATATTAAACACAAGACAAAGCGTACACTATAATTGCCGTTAATTGACCATGATAGCCGTACTCCAGTAGAGAGGAGTGAGCCTGATTAAGATAATTAAGAGAGCCTTTTGTAAGCTACATCAAGTATAGGCCGAACACCTTGAAAGCGACGCTGGATGCCATATAGTTTTTTACACTGTTAATTATGTACACGATGATCATCACGCAAACTAGAAGTTCAAACAAGAGAAATGCCCTAATTGTTTAATTAGGGTGATTGGTAAGTTAATTTAGTGTCCCTTGTGTTAACTTACGTTGTATATAATATAGGTCCTACAGAGGAATGTTTCGTGTGTACTGTACATAAGAAAACACCTGACTTGACTTGAAGATTACTTGAAGATTATCTTATTATGATGTTTTCATGATGTTTGAGCACTGTTGAAGATGTGAACCATTCGTAAGGTTAATAAGGAATCACGAGTCTATGTAAAAAAAATGAAATCTATCTATCTATCTATCTATCTATCTATCTATCTATATATATATATATATATATATATATATATATATATATATATATATATATATATATATATATATATATATATATATATACAAACACACACACACACACACACACACACTCAAATGGGTGTAATTTCAGCAAAGCAGCATAGGGCTTTTTTTACCGTCTTGTCAGTGGAAACTATTCAGATATTGACCACCAGAAGACGCTGTATTCCCTCGCGAGAAAGGTTTAATATAAATTAGACTACTGTGGCATGTTGTTCAGTGTGATGCAACTATTTTGGTTTATTTAGTGTTACAGTGGCGTAAACGCAAGATTAACGTTTCGAGGCCGACGAGTTGACATGTTCGTGTTCCTTGAAAAAAGCTATACTTTTCCGAAAGATAGCAAATAAAACAAATACAGAAAACTGGCACTTTCTAAAAGTGTCATTGAAATTTAGACAGAAAACAGAAACGTTTTTTCATATTTATCTGACTTTATGCTCACAATAATTTATATATCAGATTTTTAATAAATCTTAAATATATAATATTCAAATTAAAATGAATAAAGAAATTAAAATTGTATTAAAATGAAATACCTAAAATATAAATTCAGAAAAAGAGCACACACGCACGCACACACCACACACAAACATACACACACACACACACACACACACACACACACACACACACACACATACACACACACACACACACATATACACACATACACACATATATATATATATATATATATGCCACTAAAATAACGAAGTAGTATTAAATCATAAACAGATACTTTGGAATCCCTGCAGTGCCGAAGGCCAATTAATGGTTTTCTATTTTAATATGTTTAAAAATAATATTAATAATAGTAGTAATAAATTAATAAATAGTCGTTTATACATCTCTTAATTTTTACAAAGTTGCTGCGCTCAGCGAAGAAGACGCAGATCTTGAGGGGAAAAATTTCAATTGGAGGCTCTTACATTTAGATGTTTGCTTTTCAAGTCATTGTTTCATCCACACACACACACAAAAATAAAAAACATAAACGCCTAGTGCACTCAAAAGTAGTTTTTTTTCTCAGATGGAAGCTAAGAATTTTAGATGATGGACGTTATTTTCTAAGTAATTTATGTATCACACTTATTTTTCGATATATAGTTAGAAAAATAAAACATGCTATTGTATTCTTTTGTAACTATTCAGATATAGACTTATAATAATTGCGTAAGACAACGCGTTCTTTTGCAAAGAGCTACAAATGTGTTTTCTTAAATATTTGTTAAAATATAAACAAAATAATAATAATAATAATAATAATAATAATAATAATAATAATAATAACAACAACAACACAATAATAATAATAACAATAATAATAATAACAATAATAATAATAAACTAAATTGAAGGTATTATTTTAATAGGTGTGTAATGTAAAAGAAAAATGTCTATTTTGTAAAATAAATCTTGACAATTTTCAGTCCACTCATACTAGTTTTTTTACAACTCCGCGCACCGGCATGAAACGCATTACTGAACTTACGCGGAGTTACTTCAGGACTTGCTCGTGTTATTTGAGCGTCGTTAACTTTACCTGAGAGCCTCTCCTCTTCCCGAGTTCATTTTCCTCAGTACCGCGTGTCTGAACCGAGTGGACGGAAATTTGGACGACGCG